GGGGGGCTGTCCTATACATAAAAGAATGTTTAGCAGCATCCCTAGTATCTATCTACCCGATGCCGGAAGCAACACCCACCCCACCTCAGACGTCTCCAGACATTGCCAAATGTCCCTTAGGAATACAGTCACCACCCTGCCTCCACCCCAGTTGAGAACCACTTCTCTGCAGCAAAACTCCTCAAAAGAATTGGCCGGGCACAGTGGCTCAAGCTTATAATCCCAGCACTTTGGGAAGCCGAGGCGGGTGGATCACCAGGTCAAGAGTTCAAGACTAGCCTGGCCAGCATGGGGAAACCCCATCTCTACTAAAAATACAAAAAGTAGCCAGCCGGGCGTGGTGGCGCATGCCTGTAATCCCAGCTACTTGGGAGGCTGAGGCAGGAGAATCGCTTGAACCCAGGAGGTGGAGGTTGCAGTGAACCAAGATCATGCCACTGCACTCCAGCCTGGGCGAAAGAGTGAGATCCTGTCTCAAAAAAAAGAATTATCAGCTGGGCAAGGTGGCTCAAGTCTGTAATTCCAGCACTGTAGGAGGCCAAGGCAGGCAGATTACCTGAGGTCAGGTGTTCAAGACTAGCCTGGCCAACATAGTAAAACCCCTTCTCTACTAAAATATACAAAAATTAGCAGGGCATGTTGGCACATCCCTGTAATCCAGCTACTGGGGAGGCTAAGGCAGGAGAATCACTTGAATTTGGGAGGCAGAGGTTGCAGTGAGCCAAGATCATGCCATTGAACTCCAGCCTGGGCGACAGAGCAAGACTGCATTTCAAAAAAAAAAGAATTATCTATCTGCACTGTCTCACATGTGTCTCCTTCTCTTTACCAAAGTGCCACTGAAAATGTTCTTGTTGAGATCATCAATGACTTTCATGTTGCTAAATGCTATGGTTATTTCTCCATAAGATGCAAAAAATTAGCTGGGCGTGGTGGCGGGCGCCTGTAGTCCCAGCTACTCAGGAGGCTGAGGCAGGAGAATGGTGTGAACCAGGGAGGCAGAGCTTACAGTGAGCCGAGATCATGCCACTGCACTCCAGTCTGGGCAACAGAGCAAGACTCTGTCTCAAAAAAAAAAAAGAAAAAAGTATAATAGCAAACACTTATATAGTGCTTCTGGAACAGGAATTAAAAGAAATTAAAGAATGTGTAAGCAAAAACTCAGTTGTATGTAAAAAAAACCAATTCCCCCTGAGGAAGAGAAAGAGCCGGAGTCCTTTAAAACTTAACTGCCTGTTTTTCTGTCTGTGGCTAGTGTGCCTTATCTCTCCCTTTCCCAGGCTATGTAAAGACTCTGTTTCTCTAGCTGTGTGGCTGCAAGGTCACTAGACAGATAAACTCAAGTCGTAAAACATGTTTTTCCTTGAAAAGTAAGAAATGGGCCGGGCGCGGTGGCTCAAGCCTGTAATCCCAGCACTTTGGGAGGCCGAGACGGGCGGATCACGAGGTCAGGAGATCGAGACCATCCTGGCTAACACGGTGAAATCCCGTCTCTACTGAAAATATGAAAAACTAGCCGGGCGAGGTGGCGGGCGCCTGTAGTCCCAGCTACTCGGGAGGCTGAGGCAGGAGAATGGCGTAAACCCGGGAGGCGGAGCTTGCAGTGAGCTGCGATCCAGTCACTGCACTGCAGCCTGGGCGACAGAGCGAGACTCCGTCTCAAAAAAAAAAAAAAAAAAAAAAAGAAAAGTAAGAAATGATGTAATGCATGTCTCAACTGAATAACTGTCTTTGTTTCTCACTTCTGTAATATGCTTCCCCCTGCACAGATCTCCCCCCATCCCACAAAATGCTTAAAAGGTAACTTGACTCCTTGTTAGGGGCTCTTTGAATGTAACTTTGAATGTAAATCCAACTGGATCGATGCACCAAAATAATAAATAATAAGTATCCTCCTCAACCCCTCGGTCTCTTTGATTCCTAAATTATCCTGCTACACTGCAAGGGACCCAGAGATCTCCTCCAGCCCCTCTTTTAACTCTTAGCGGGTTTTTGAGCTGAATCTAGAAAATGAACTGACACCAGGCAGATTAACAAGAGAAAAGTGTACAAACTTTGTTTCACATGTACGGGGGAGTCTACACAAAAGAGTGAAGTCTGAAGAAGTGGTCAAATAAGATGCTTTTTACGTTTTAGACAAAGAGCAATACATTTGAGAAGAAATGACAGGACAAAGAAAATCTGGCTGGTGCAGTAAATTTTTCAGGGGAGTCACTAGGCGATAAATGGTGGGGAGTGCCAAACTGGTGGAAGTAAGGGTAACTTTGAGAAGTATGTTTACAGAGGTCCATTGTAGCCTTTAGTTTTGAGTCTCTGGAGATAAAGGCTATTTTCTTGCTCTTATATGGAGAGGGTACCTTTTCCAGATAAATCCTCATCACTTGTTACATGCAGGAAAACAGTGGTCAGCTTATTGTTTCTGAAACTTTACTTTCTCTATTTTTTTTTTTTTTTTTTTTTTTGTGATGGGGTCTCACTCTGTCACCCTAACTGGAGTGCAGTGACACAATCTAGGCTCGCTCCAACCTCCGCCTTCCAGGTTCAAGTGATTCCCATGCCCCTGTCTCCTGAGTAGCATGCACCACCACGTCCAGCTAATTTTTGTATTTTTAGTAGAGACAGGGTTTCACCATGTTGGCCAGGATGGTCTTGAACTCCTGGGCTCCAGTGATCAGCCTGCCTCGGCTTCCCAAAGTGCTTGAATTACAGGCATGAGCCACCGTGCCCAGCCTTTCTAATGCTTTTTTTTTTTTTTTTTTTTTTGAGACGGAGTCTCGCTCTGTCGCCCAGGCTGGACTGCAGTGGCGCGATCTCGGCTCGCTGCAAGCTCCGCCTCCCAGGTTCACGCCATTCTCCTGCCTCAGCCTCCTAGTAGCTGGGACTACAGGCGCGCACAACCACGCCCGGCTAATTTTTTTGTATTTTTAGTAGAGACGGGATTTCACCGTGTTAGCCAGGATGGTCTAGATCTCCTGACCTCGTGATCCGCCCGCCTCGGCCTCCCAAAGTGCTGGGATTACAGGCGTGAGCCACCGCGCCCGGCCTCTCTAACGCTTTTTAACTCAATAATTGATATATCGATTTGGCATATTTGGAGTTTTGGGATTTGTTTTTGTTTTTGTTTTTGAGACAGGGTCTCTCTTTGTCACCCAGGCTGGAGTGCAGTGGTGGGATCATGGCTCACTGCAGCCTCCACTTCCTGGGCTCAAGTGATTCCCCTGCCTCAGCCTCCCTGGTAGCTGGGAGTATAGATGAGCACCGCCGTGTCTGGCTAATTTTTGTGTTTTTTTGTACAGACGTGGTCTTGCCATATTGCCTAGGCAGGTCTTGAACTCCTGACCTCAAGTGATCTGCCTGCCTCGGCCTCCCAAAGTACTGGGATTACAACCACCATGCCCAGTCCAATCTGGCTTATTTTGGGATGGCATGTCCTTTGCTCCTTTAGTGCTCACAGTGTGCCAGGTGTTGTTCTAAGTGTCTTAGATATGGTGGAACACCTTGCTGGTTCAACCACCAGAGCAGCTCATTTTAAAAATATTTTCTGTCTTTCATAACAAAATTATAGTCAGCAATAATCTGAAATGAAGTGACTAATAATCATGGCCAGAAAAGAAACAGTGAAAGTTTTACTTTATTGAATTTCATGGCCGGGCATGGTGGCTCACACCTGTAATCCCAGGACTTTGGGAGGCCGAAGCAGGTGGATCACCTGAGGTCCAGAGTTCAATACCAGCCTGGCCAACATAGTGAAACCCTGTCTCTACTAAAAATATAAAAATTAGTCTGTAATACCAGCACTTTGGGAGGTCGAGGTGGGTGGATCACCTGAGGCCGGGAGTTCAAGACCAGCCTGACCAACATGGAGAAACCCCGTCTCTACTAAAAATACAAAATTAGCTGGGCGTGGTGGTGCACGCGTGTAGTCCCAGCTACTTAGGAGGCTGAGGCAGGAGAATCACCTGAACCTAGAAAGTAGAGGTTACAGTGAGTGGAGATCATGCCATTGCACTCCAGACTAAGCAACGAGAGCAAAGCTCCTTCTCAAAAAAAAAAAAAAAAAAATTAGCCGGGCATGGTGGTGTGCATCTGTAATCCCAGCTACTCAGGAGGCTGAGGTGGGAGAATCGCTTGAGCCCAGGAGGTGGAGGCTGCATTGAGCTGAGATCATGCCACTACACTCCAGCTAGGATGACAGAGTGAGAGTCTGTCTCAAAAGAAAAAAAAAAACTCAAATTAATATTATGGTACAAAAAGGTAACGAATTAATGCTTTTAAATTACATTTATATATTTGTGTATATATGTGTGTATATACACATATAAATATATTTATGGCTGGGCACAGTGGCTCATGCCTGTAATCTCAGCACTTTGGGAGGCTGAGGGGGGTGGATCACGAGGTCAGGAGTTGGAGACCAGCCTGACCAACATGGTGAAGCTCCATCTCTACTAAAAATAGAAAAATTACCCGGGAATGGTGGCACCTGCCTGTAATCCCAGCTACTCAGGAGGCTGAGGCAGGAGAATTGCGCCACTGCACTCCAGCCTGGGTGACAGAGTGAGACTCCATCTCAAATATGTATCTATATATAGATATAGATATAGAGGTAGATATAGCTATGATATAGCTATAGAGAGAGAGAGAGAGAGCTATATAGATCTATATCTATATAGATCTATATAGATATATTTTTGTATTTGTAGTAGAGACGGGGTTTCACTGTGTTGGCCAGGATGGTCTCGATCAGCTGACCTCATGATCCGCCCGCCTTGGCCTCCCAAGTGCTAGGATTACAGGCGTGAGCCACCACACCCAGCCCAATTTTTTTTTTTTTTTCCAGATGGGGTCTCCCTGTGTTGCTTAGACTGGGTCGAACTTCTGGACTCAGGGATCCTCCTGCCTCAGCCTCCTGAGCCACCATACATGGCCTATTTTATTATTTTTATTATATTATATATTATATATATTATTATAGTTTATATTATATATTTTTTTCATAAATCAAAGTACTATTTTATTAAATGAGTTATTTTATACAACATGAGCATCAATATAATTACAGTTGTAAAAAAATTTTTTATAACAAGGATGGACTGATTTTCAGATTTCCAAATCAGAGTCAACTGTACATTTACACAGAATTGTCTTTGCATGAAGCCCAAAAGGGAACAGCATAAAAATGAGTGTTTCTGTAGCCCCTTTATTTTTGCTGATCAACAATTTGTTAGAAAAGCAGCTGCAGGTATGTTACCTAAGGTCTGAGACAGTAGAAGAGTCAAAGGTGTCATGAATTCACCTGTAAACAACCTTATGCCTGAACATCAGCTAATTCTGGAGTAAGTGGAGTCTTAGGATGCTTGCTCTCAAAGTGCTGCTTGAAGGTCTTAGGGTCTGGCATTTGTGTCCTACAGACACTGCAGGTATATATTAAGGCAGCTTTGGCAGCAGCCTTTTGGTCATGTCCTTGTTTCTTCTTTTGTCCAGCTTGCTTTTTGGCATTTTTCTGCTGAAACTGAAATTTTCTGCTGTCCACGAGCCATATCCGGGCCGGGACAGTCTTGCGTCAGAGAGATTGCACAGTGCGAGAGGGCCAGGAGAGGACGCCGGAGGGAGAGGCTATATTATATATATTATATATTTTATTGTCTGCCTGGGAATATGGCAATATCAATATAATATATATTACATAGTATTATATAATATATATTATTTATTATATAATATTATAATTTTTTATTTTATTTTATTTTGAGACAGAGTCTTGTTCTGTTGCCCAGGCTGGAGTGCAGTGGCGCAATCTTGACTCACTGCAACTTCCACCTGCTGGGTTTGGGCAATTCTCCTGCCTCAGCCTTCCAAGTAGCTGGGATTAACAGGCGTCTGCCACCACAGCCAGCTAATTTTTGTATCTTTAGTAGAGACAGGGTTTCACCATGTTCACCAGGCTCGTCTTGAACTCCCGACATCAGGTGAACCACCTGTCTCAGCTTCCCAAAGTGCTGGGATTACAGGTGTGAGCCACCGTGCCTGGCCTGTTTTGTTTTGTTTTGTTTTGTTTTGAGATGGAGTCTTCCTCTGTTGCCCAGGCTGGAGTGCAGTGGTGCAAACCTACCCCTCTCTGACCTATGCCCTGGGGTGGATCACTTCTACCATGCTGCCCTTAATAAGCTTCCCACCATGAATTAATTTAATCTTTATAACAATCCCATTAAATAGGTGCTGTTATATCTCCCCCATTTCACAGAAGGGGTGACTAAGGTTCCGGAAAATTAAGTGAGTTTTAAATTAACATAATAAATGGCAAAAATGAGATTTAAACCCAGGCAGTCTAGTGCCTATTTCTATGCTTTTAATGGCTCCCCACTGCCATTTATGAAGGACAATGTAAAGAATACCTGTATCGGCCAGGTGCGGTGGCTTATGCCTGTAATCCCAGAATTTTGGGAGGCTGAGGCAGGCGGATCACGAGATTAGACCGAGACCGTCCTGGCTAACACGGTGAAACCGCATACTAAAAATACAAAAAATCACCTGGGCGTGGTGGCCCTCACCTGTAGTCTCAGCTACTTGGAAGGCTGAGGCAGGAGAATCACTTGAACCTGGGAGGTGGAGGTTGCAGTGAGCCAAGATGGCACCGCTGCACTCCAGCCTGGGTGACAGTGTGAGACTCCATCTCCAAACACACACACAAAAAGAATACCTGTATCTTTACCATTTAACTTTTTTAGCTGTTACATTTTGCCACAGTTGAAGTTCCCATAGATCCTTTTCCCATCTCATTCCCTACTCTCCTTTCCTAGATGTAAGCTTCAATTTTATTTTGGTGGGCATCTTCTCTGTGAACTTTTACTTTTCCTAAATATGTATGTATCCAAAAACAATGTATAATATCCTGTATATTTTCCAACTTTATTTAAATGATATCATAGAGTGATACAATTCTACAACTTACTTTATTCAATAAACTTTTTACATTTATCCATGTTAACATTAATACATGTGTTAGAGTTCATTTATTTTATTTTATTTATTTATTTTTGAGACAGAGTCTCGCTCTGTCGCCCAGGCTGGAGTGCAGTGGCCAGATCTCAGCTCACTGCAAGCTCTGCCTCCTGGGTTTACGCCATTCTCCTGCCTCAGCCTCCCGAGTAGCCGGGACTACAGGCGCCCGCCACCGCGCCCGGCTAGTTTTTTGCATTTTTAGTAGAGACGGGGTTTCACCATGTTAGCCAGGATGGTCTCGATCTCCTGACCTCGTGATCCGCCCGTCTCGGCCTCCCAAAGTGCAGGGATTACAGGCTTGAGCCACCGCACCAGGCCTCATTTATGTTTTAAATGCTGCATAGCATTTCCTTGCATAAATGTAGCAGAATGTATCCATTCTTCTGTTAATGTATAAACAATATGTTTCAAGGCTTTAGTCTTCTATACATGGAGAGTTCTCCTTATTTTCATTTTGGCCAACCTTTAAAAATTGGAACACTTGGCCAAGCACAGTGGCTCATGCCTGTAATCCCAGCACTTTGGGAGGTGGAGGCAGGTGGATCACCTGAGGTCAGGAGTTTGAGACTAGCCTGGCCAACATGGTGAAACCCTGTCTCTACCAAAAATACAAAAATTAGCCTGATGTGATGGCGCATGCCTATAGTACCAGCCACTCAGGAGGCTGAGGCAGGAGAATCGCTTGAACCTGGGAGGCAGAGGCTGCAATGAGCCAAGATCGTGCCACTGCACTCCAGCCTGGGTGACAGAGTGAAACTGTTTCAAAAAAAAAAAAAAAAAAACTGGATTACTTCAAATTTTAAAATCCAGATTTATGACTATGAATTCTTTTAAAAAGTCAAATGATACAGAAAATTCCCAGCTGCCTGGGACTAATATGTTGAAATTAAGTTACAGCTGCCCATGTAGATAGGGCACATTCCAGTTGGTTACAACTTCCCTGCTCCTCCCAGTGTGCTGAATGGTGATATCAATTGCCATTTGTCAAGATGACAATGTTATATATTGGTTTTGGATATATACATATTTAGAAAAAGTATTTAAGGCTGGGCACGGTTGCTCACGGCTGTAATCCCAGCACTTTGGGAGGCTGAGGTGGGTGGATCTCCTGACATCGGGAGTTCAAGACCAGCCTGGCCAACAGGGCGAAACCTCATCTCTACTAAAAATACAAAAATTAGCTGGGCATGGTGGCACCTTCCTGTTATCCCAGCTACTTAGGAGGCTGAGGCAGAGAATCGCTTGAACCCAGGAGGCAGCGTTTGCAGTGAGCCAAGATCACACTATTGCACTCCAACCTAGGCAAGAAGAGTGAAACTCCATCTCAGAAAAAAAGAAAAAAAGAAAGAAAAGAAAAAGTATTTAAAAGTTCACAGAAGGCCAGGCATGGTGGCTCATGCCTGTAATCCTAGCACTTTGGAAGGCCGAGGCTGGAGGATCACCTGAGGTCAGGAGTTCAAGACCAGAGTAGCAAACATAGTGAAATCTCGTCTCTACTAAAAATACAAAAATGAGCCAGGCATGGTGGTGCATGCCTTTAATCCCAGATACTCAGGAGGCTGAGGCAGGAGAATCACTTGAACCTGGGAGGCGGAGGTTGTGGTGAGCAGAGATCCCACCACTGCACTCCAACCTGGGTGACAGTGAGATTCTGTCTCAAGAAAAAAAAAAGTTCGGCTGGTTGTGGTGACTCAAGCCTGTAATCCCAGCACTTTGAGAGGCTGAGGTGGACGGATCACCTGAGGTCAGGAGTTGGAGACCAGCCTGACCAACATGGAGAAACCCTGTCTCTACTAAAAATACAAAATTAGGGCCGGGCGCGGTGGCTCAAGCCTGTAATCCCAGCACTTTGGGAGGCCGAGAGGGGCGGATCACGAGGTCAGGAGATCGAGACCATCCTGGCTAACACAGTGAAACCCCGTCTCTACTAAAAATACAAAAACTTAGCCGGGCGAGGTGGCAGGCGCCTGTAGTCCCAGCTACTCGGGAGGCTGAGGCAGGAGAATGGCGTGAACCCAGGAGGCAGAGCTTGCAGTGAGCTGAGATCCGGCCACTGCACTCCAGCCTGGGTGACAGAGCGAGACTCCGTCTCAAAAAAAAAAAAAATACAAAATTAGGCCGGGTGCGGTGGCTCACGCCTATAATCCCAGCACTTTGGGAGGCCGAGGTGGGCGGATCATGAGGTCAGGAGATTGAGACCATCCTGGCTAACACAGTGAAACCCCATTTCTACTAAAAATACAAAAAATTAGCTGGGTGTGGTGGCAGGCGCCTGTAGTCCCAGCTACTTGGGAGGCTGAGGCAGGAGAATGGCGTGAACCCAGGAGGCGGAGCTTGCAGTGAGCCGAGATCATGCCACTGCCCTCCAGTCTGGGCGACAGAGCGAGACTCCTCTCAAAAAATAAATAAATAAATAAAATAAAAATACAAAATTAGCTGGGCGTGGTTGTCAGGCCTCTGAGCCCAAGCCTGCAGATATACATCCAGATGGCCTGAAATAACTAAGAATCACAAAAGAAGTGAAAATGGCCAGTTCCTGCCTTAACTGATAATATGACCTTGTGAAATTCCTTCTCCTGGCGCAAAAGCTCCCCCACTGAGCACCTTGTGAGCCATGGCCCTGCCTGCCAGAGAACAACCCCCTTTGATTGTAATTTTCTACTACCTACCCAAATCTTATAAAATGGCTCCGCCCCTATCTCCCTTCGCTGACTCTCTTTTCAGACTCAGCCTGCCTGCACCCAGGTGAAATAAACAACCTTGTTGCTCACACAAAGCCTGTTTGGTGGTCTCTCCACATGGACACGCATGACATTTGGTACCAAAACCCGGGACAGGAGGACTCCTTCGGGAGACCAGTCCGCTGTCATCACCCTCACTCCATGAGGACCTCGGGTCCTCAGACCAACCAGCCCAAGGAATATCTCATGAATTTCAAATCGGATGAGCAGTCTTTTCACTCTCTTCTCCAGCTTCTCTTGCTACCCTTCAATCTCCCTCTCTCGCTACCCTTCAATCTCCCTGTCCTTCCAATTCCAGTTCTTTTTCCTCTCTAGTAGAGACAAAGGAGACACATTTTATCCATGGACCCAAAACTCCGGTGCCGGTCACAGACTTGGGAAGGCAGCCTTCCTTGCTGTTTAATCACTGCAGAGACACCTGCCTGATTATTCACCCACAGTCCATTGGTGTCTGATCACTGCGGGGACACCTGCCTTGGTCATTCACCCACATTCCCTTGGTGGCAAGTCAATTGTGGGGACACCTGCTTTGGCTGCTCACCCACATTGCAGCCCAGGGCTGCTCACCATCCCCCTTCTCCATGTCTCTACCTTTCTCTTTAAATTTACCTCCTTCACTACGGGCAACCTTCTGCCCTCCATTCCCCCATCTTCTCCCTTTGAGAGGCTGAGGTGGGCGGATCACCTGAGGTCGGGAGTTGGAGACCAGCCTGACCAACAGGGAGAAACCCTGTCTCTACTAAAAATACAAAATTAGCTGGGCATGGTTGTCAGGCCTCTGAGCCCAAGCCTGCAGG